AAAGTTTTTTCTCTTCTCCCGCGGACGAATGTCCAGCATACGGAAGATGTTGGTAACAGCCCGCAATATTTGATCGTGCCCGAGTTTACGGGTGCTTCGAGAAACACAATCTTTCAGCCCGATAAAATTTCACTAAAACGGCAAAGATAAGTTAGTCCGCACCAGAAATATAAAGCAGTTGTGTGGAGCAATTAGTCGCATTTAAACTGTAGTCTCTGATAGTAGATCGAATTCAAGTACACAACAACAAACTGTTTCTTTTTAAGAGTTAAAATCATGAACTAACCATCAATGCGAGCTGCAACGATCTTATCCTGATTTTCAAGGATAACAATAAGGCAAATTAAGTTACGTATTGAACAATACACAGATATGTAAAACGATGCCGATAAAATAATGAGCTCAAATTTTAAAATTACAGATGGGAAAGTAAACCGCCGAAAAACAAGAGACGGCTAATTTGATTTATAATCGCGATGACAAATGTTTACGCTAACAATGGAGACAAAGGCTATAAAATAAATGTTTCGTGGTTACACTAACTACTACCTAGAAGATGATTGTTCCTATCTCGCTTTGAGCGCCCTTAATCTGTTGCACGAGCTTGCTCAGCGGTCAAGCAAAGGCCTTTCTTTTTGGGGTGTTACTACATCGAGGATCAGCAGACCGCGGAACCTCCGGAACCAATATTTTTCATTAAAAAAAGTAAACGAATGAAATAAACACTAGAACGTACTTAACAATGTCTACAAGTTCGTTTACGGGTATAAAGAAGAATGCTTTAAGAGAGAAATAGATTTTAATTGTCCTTCACGTCAAATTCAAGGTTACTTCCCACCTTCAGAGGCCGAAAAAAACATATTTTGTTTTATTTGACTAAACTGAATTGGAACGTTTAACTTAACGTTTCCAAAAGAACAATTTTTTAAATATCCAAAAGCACCCGAGCTATTTAGAATAACGTAATTTCTGGTTAACAAATCAGGAAGGTGTCATAATCTCGTACTTTGCTCCTCAAAGTCTTTGTTAAAAAAAAAAAAAAAAAAGAAAAAAAAAAATTAGAAATAGGTCCAAAGAAGGAAGAAGTCGCCACCGAACCAAAATTTGTCACACACAAGTTTAAAACCGAGGTTTCCTTTTAATTATTCAAGTACCAGCCTTGATGCAAAAACAATATAGTCGCCTCGAATCGTAAGTTTCAAAGCTGTCTGTCGATTCGTTGTCTTGCTTCTCAACACCAGCATTTTCCGGTTTCTCCATTTTTGCCACGGTATTTTCCTTTGCCTTTGGCTTTCTTGTCAATCATTGCGTCGTCCTTCTCAACGCTCCACTTTGCGACCGAGAAAAAAAAAAGAACTTGTGTGCAATGGTAAACTTTTCGCAGGAAATCTTAATCCATCGTCATTGACGCCAGGAGGTCCCGTTTTCCTATCGTTTTGCGGTTAATCTACTGGTCTGACGCGAGTAGTTCACGAATCTTTATGAGCTTAAATCACGCATTTGATTTTGGCAGGAATACATCCATTTTAGCGAATTTACGGGGTGTTTGGATTTAATTTATCTTCGTCAAATTTCGCCAAAACATTTGAGGAATAATGACAAACATAAGTGTGTCGGGAAATTTTGATATTTGAAAGATTTGTCCCGCGGCGTTCACTTACACAACACGCCTCGCATATTAGCTACTCCAACTTCAGGCTCCAACTTCAGGCTCCAACTTCAGGCTCCAACTTCAGATGTCGGTATCTAGACAACCAATCTGACTATCGAAAAAGCTTGACGCATTGTTGTTGATTGATGCATTGGGAATACGACTGTGCAGCCATTTCGCTTGTGCTTCAGCATCTGATATCCGATTAATTCAAAAGAAGAACCTTCAGCCGTTCCACGCCTCACCGGCTCCTGACACTTCCTAAAAGGAAAATTTGCTTAAATTATATTTTTTATCGTAAACTGCATTTATTAAGCTTTCTTGTGATGTATAATTTGCCAGAATTTTAGTAAAACTAGTGCGCGTACAAGTTTTCACCCGAAGGACACCCGCGAAGGTGGGAAAGTAAGCTTATTAACCCTTTACACTTCAACATCAGTAGATACATTCTCCATACTGTTCTCAATAAATTTCATAGGGCGCTGAAAAGGACAATTTTTTGACAATCTAGAGCTTTTATCATTGGTGATCATTTCCTTTTTTCTTGTGACCTTTGTGTGTGATTTTGGGGGTGATATTTAGGGAGAAATTAGATGCTAGTCACTGTCAGGGGTTGAAGGGTTAACTATGGTGACATTCACAGTACTAGTTAAGGGTATGTAATATCATTAGGAGCAATCAGCGGTCACCTACCCTTAGTGTTGATAGTTGAACAAAAGCTTGAAAGCTCTAACGGTTTGGGTACCGCAGTATCCGAATAACGCCTTCTCCGGAGGCTCTCAGCAAACTTTAAGACTGGAATAATCATTTCATTACTCATGATCCTAAAACGAGGAACACGAGCGCGAAGTAGCATCATCGCCCGTGATACTTGTAGAATTTTGGGGTGATCGTGGCGTCCAGAGCTAATTTACAGCGTTATGCTTCCATTGGATTCGTTGGTTGGCATTACAACCTACCGTGGTTCAAAACCAAGCCAAGCGCTGATTGGTAAATTTGGAACGGTCTGCATTCCTTTGTTCATTGAGTTTGGCATCGATCATATTTAATAAAGCTGTATTCATCATTTTAGCACCGATTTTCTTAGAAAATGTTGGAGGAATGGAGATCAAATTTAGCGAAGAGATCGAGCAACATCTCAGTGATCAACCGTCGCCAGTTAGGAGAGATTTTCAGTAGGGTAGTGTTAATTCTAGTTTGAAGAGGAGGAGGTCGCGACTAGAAGCCAACAAGTTGCAACTAGTACTACTACGAAGGCCCGTGGCTCCGTGCGGAGCATAGGCCATCGACAACCCCTCGCCATCGCTCTCTGTTATGGGCTAATCTTGCTGCTCCTGTCCAGTTTGTACCTTGCTGCTTGAGCTCTGCCTCAGTGTCTCGCCTCCAGCTGTTGCGAAGCTGGCCTCTCTTCCTCTTTCCCTGTGGGTTCCAGGTCAGAGCTTGGCGTGTGATACTGGTTGTAACACCGCCTCCTCTTAACGGCCTCCGGCCAACAGTCATTTTGTGAAAAGACGTTTCAAACGGCCTATGAGGGCTAGAAAATATCACAAATGCGTCGATTAATAATTTATTTAACTTAATTGAGATATTAAGCCCGAGATGTGATTTAGATATGTAATATTCAGAGCTTATTCATAACCCTCATGGATGTCAACAATTATCAACCACGAACACATAGTGTGATCTGCCTCTCTTGCCTTTGGTGTATCATGTAAAAACAATTTTACCAATACGCCTCAAAGGAGACATTTCTTCCACATGCCGCTATGCAATACTATTGGACCTCGAGGACCAATCGGTAGAAGCTACGCGACGCTCATGTGTGTCCAGAACTGTTAAAAACGAACCCGTGAGTTCTTTTCTTTGTGTCCCTTTTGTGTTATTTTCACCTAAATGGAAAGCAGGAGAATTTTCATCATGGAATTTAGCACTTTTTATATTCATTAGTTTAGGGGAATGTATTGTAAGCTATCACGGAAACGTCTAAACATGATTTTAATAAATTTTTATTAAGTGACTAAATGTGACTTTCTCAAAGTTTAAGTAAAACAGATATCATTCGATGATATGAAGAGAACTTCTTTTCTTTACAACCTGGAATAGAAAAAGTAAAAAGCAAGACCTTTTCACCGTCTAAACTATGGGCAGCCCCTCCTTTTCGGCAAAGTTTGTCGCGCAAGTAAAAAAAAATAAGTCAAAAAATTTGATGTCGGGGACTTCTTGGAGTGAGACGCTTCTTATGGCGCGACGGACTTCGCCGAAAAGGAAAGAGTGCTCGTCGTCTATTCACAGTCCAGAAATGCATAATCCTATATTTAACTATATTTGACTAAACTTACCATCTTTCTTATTCTATTTACAAACATGAGGCTATAGACATTGCTAAACCTAGCAGTATGCAGGACGTGTATCACCATATGAACTTCGTAATAGACCTCGCTCACTAGTAGAGTCTCTGTGGCTCGGTGGTAGAGCATCAGAGGGCGGAATCCTAATGTCTGAGGTTCGATTCCCCATGAAGATTTTTTCTGTGTACCACGCTCATGACAAGATGAAAAACATCTTTGTCACATAAACTAAAGTGTTATACAAGGATTTCCAGCACTGAGAAAAGTAACTACACACATAACAAGATATCGTATTGTCTCAGGTCTATCTGATATCGCCAATCAGCTGCTGACACGTCACTCGCCTTTCACGCCACTCAGTCAGGTTGATGAATGAACATCCGTGTTCCCAAGCAAAAAGAATTATCGCTGCTAAAGCACTGAGAGTTTCGTATTACATATAGATAGTGACGTTCAAACTTTTCTAGAAGAGAGAGAAAACCAAAATACCAAAAGACGAACCGAAAGTTATGTATTCAGTGGCTTTGGTGATGGCAATTCTAGCGGCTGAGAATGAAAATCGACTGCTGGATGTTTTGCCACAGGCCGATTTTGTTCGACTTGAAAGATTTCTTCTGTCGGTAAGGGAAAAGTGTATAACGGAGGATTTTGTTCATTAAAAATTACGTGCATTGTTCTTTTTTTAATGATTCAACACATTTTTTTCGTCTTGAGCCTTTGCACCAACGCACTTTACGATTTTTATTCGGAGATTGACTATCCTTTTATTTTCATTGATTAGTAAAGTCGAGTTTTCTTGTCAGTAAAGGGCTGTTGTGTATATATAATAAACAAAATAATACACGGTTGCTTGCTGATATGGAATTTCTCTTCTCGTGTTTCACTCAACATCTCACTCGTTCGCTGCGCCCACTCGTGAGCTATCGAGTTGAACACTCGAAAAGAAATTCCATATCTACGCGCGCCATGTATTATTCTATATATCTCCTATTGTTTCGCGCTCAGTCTGTACCACAGTAACGCGAGTTACAACCAGGTGGCTTGAAAAGTTTGTAGATAAAGTAGGCTCCACAGTTTTTGACAGAAATCTCTATTGTGTGTTTGCAACCAGTGGGACGATCACTAAAGCAGACTGTCCTGTGAACTTCACCATCCTTAAGTGCGGGATGAGCACCATCCAACCAGCCTGACCAGACTGTACCACAGTGGTATGCATCCACACGCTTTGTTGGCATTTTTGTTCCAGCATCTCCCATTAAACGATACCATTCCGCAGGGTCACTCTCTGTAGGGAGTTGGTCGTCACAAGACTCTGGACCGTTAGTTGGTGTTGAGTAACTGCTCTCCCTGTCGTTTTCATTTAGAATTTTATAATTTTTGCAAGGATTGCCTACAAAATGAAATGATAATTATAACAGGATTAAAGTCGTTAGAATCAAAGGTAAAAGATTTTGTCTCACGAGCATTACTTACTGCACATTCAGCAAGAAGTCAATCAGTACTAATAGGAGGAGCTCGTCATATTTCCCTAGCAGCATATTTCAATCATCGAGTGGTCATTTATTGTTTAAAAACATACATATCTTAGACTTTTTTCTCTTTTTCTTCTTCTTTTCACATTAACGAAGTTATTAAGCTATGAAACAGCTCTGAGCTTGAAGGCCAAACTTTGTTTTAATGCTGTTATCAAGCATGAAGACCATGCGAAGGCAGAAACAAACGATTCTAATAGCGAAGTCAAGAAAAACCAGTGCGTTCCCGAATTTCCTACGACAGTCACTTGAAAATAGCTGTGTTCAACATATGAATGATAGCGAGATTACTTCAAAGGACACCCTGTAGCTATAGTACCTTCACATCCGTAGAGCTCCATTCTCATCGAAATATGATTGTGCCATTTGGTGGGTAGAAGTCTTATGTAACGCGCCTTAATGGATGGGTGGATCTGCTGGAATACAACAGTGTCACTGTCTTGGTTTGCAATGAATTCCTGCAAACAGAAGCAGAAAGTAAATTTGATGTTAATCCATCATTTTACCCCAAAAGTCAGAAGTGAAACTTTTATTTAATGAAAATTTGCTAAGGTCGAACCTCAAATAAGCAGTTGCTTGGAGCTGAAATACGAGATATTTCTGGCAGATATCAAGTATCATTTCCCACCCTTTAACTTTACAAGTCCAGACCTAACCCAAGGGGAAAGTACGGGACGTAAAAGAAAACAAGCATGTTCCTACAGTGTACCTTTGGAAAGTTTTGACCTGGCATTTGATAAAAGCTGAAGTTCACTCCATCATCACTGTACTGCATCCTGTATTTTTTCACCCATTGGTTGTGGGCATTCCTTCCTTGAGTGGCCATCTGTGTTATTGTCGTCTTAGTAAGAAGATCAACCTGGATCCACTGATTCAAATTCTTGTTTTTAGCTGACCAGCCTCCTCTTTTTCCTGGATGCGCCAAAAAATTCAACCTTCCCTGGATTGCAGCATGGTTTCCATCCCACTCTGAAGAGGCTGAGATCTGAGCGTCCTTTATGAGTTTCAATTGGTTATCCATACCCAGGGGTGCTGAGCATGCTGTAAGGGTTGGAATAAGAGGATTAATCCCAACATAACGTATGAATAACTCTAGGAATAATTCGATTATGTTGGCGTGACTTTTTGACGTACATTTTGTTCAATGACTTTGCCAGCATGAGCCACCTAGAGCACAGTATCGTATCCGAAGCACTACCCGCAGAGAGGTCAAAGGTTTGAATTTTGCTTGAAGCGCACGGAATTTTCTCTCCTAGTATTCCTCTGTAAAGAACTAAGATATTTGTCGTTTTAATATGCTTAGATGTACATGAGAAGAAAAATTCTGTCGGAAAGTACAGGAAATTACCGAAATGGCGGAAGACTTCGACATCTTCCTGGTTTGAACTGTGCCGTGGTGGCATGGAATCGATGGAACCTGTGTTTTTTCGCCTTGCGTTTGCATTTGCGTTACCCGGGCTCACAAGTGTGAGAAGCGTATGCAAATGCAAATACAAGCTCAAGAAAATGAAAAACTTTTCATTCCTTGCGTTGACGCTTGCGTCTGCATTTGTGTCAGGGTGGTTGAAAGTGTAAATCCTTGTATTTGCGCCGCAAGGCTTGCGTCTGCACTTGCATTTGCGTCGCACGTTTGAAACAGGCTTTCGCCTTTTCATCCAAGAGCCATATATGTCTGAATGAGGCAAAATACTCTTTTGTACGTTTTTGAGACTATTGACAGTACCTGACGCTGTACAATTGCGTCTATCTCCAGTATATCGAGGTTTGCAAGTGCACACGTACGATCCGCGTGTGTTAACACAAGTGGCGTATACGTAACATGAGCCAGGGTATGTTTTGCATTCGTCAACATCAGTCAAAAATTTAAAAAATGAAATAAGGAAAAGAGAGAAAGGAGTAAAAGCTGGGATCTAGTTCTTCTCCATGAGCCGTACATGTATGAACGAAACAAAATACTGCTTTGCACGTTTCTGGTTTCATGCGATTCTAAGCAAAGTATCAAAATATTCTTGAGCTTTGCTCACGTTGTTGAAGTCTACTCCACGAACCGCGCTTCGTTTGCCACCCGAGCACGAGATAAATTCAATGGAACTCTATCTAACGAGAAAAACAGGAATCGACACCATTGAATCAAGAGAGAAATTCATGCTATTTTAAGCACTATGTAGATTACCATTTTCACAGTGTTCTCCATCGGACCCAGGAGGGCACAAGCATCGATATCCCTTTATGGTGAAACCAGTCTGACAAGTTGCGTTATTTTGGCACAGTGAATACGTATCACAAGAGTTCTGAAGGAACGAGACAAAAATCGACGGATTGAAAGAACGAATCGTTGAAGAAGAACGAAGAAGCAAAATTTTCGCAAAACGTCAGTTATTTTTAATATGTCATCCTAAATTAACAAATTCGTAAATTCTTCTGGTAACTTACCTTCGAGCCACGATAGTAAAAAAACGCGTCATATGTCAAGTCGCTGTCATATTTCAGATGTGTGGCGTTATTTAGCTCACAGATGTGACCTGATTTGTCATTCTTTGGATTAATCCCTGGATCTTTTTTGAAGTTAAGACTGACATAGTTGTCGTTCAGGTAGCAAAAAAGCTCACAGTCATCTAAGTTCTTGACTTTTCGTGTTTCGATAGTGTGGTTTACCAAACGCCTTTCAGCAAAGAAGTAGTAATCTGGAAACAGCATTGCGCGCTCTCGCTCTAAAATAAATAAATTTAAATATAGTTACAAGGCAAACGTTTCCATTTTGAAAAACCAAATCTCAAGGAAGAAGCTCCTAAGACGAATTTCTTACCAAAAAAATTGGGATCTCAGTAAATTGCGCTGGCAAATACATCGAGAGCATAGTAAAACACAACCTTGGATGAGTAGAACGATGATTCGTTAAATGCGTTTTCCAACTTTGTAAATTGCCTTTTTTTTATAAAACTACCTAACTTTCGTAATTTTTCATTTTTCCTTCAATCTCTCGTTAGTGCTTTATCTGAAAAAATTGGAACGGGGACGGTCTTTCTTCAAGTTAACAGGTGCTAGACAATTGAATATTTATCAAGAAATAATTTCTTGATAATCATTGAACGGTTATCGTGCTAACTTGAGCTGAGAAAAACAATTTTTTTCTGGTATCGCGTAACAGATTTATATTTGGATAGAAAGCTTTCTAAACGTACAGATTTAGGGTGAAATTCTTCAATTTGCACTTTTTCAAGCCAATGCAGGTGGTTAGAGTTGGTTAACTATGGTTTATTTATGGATATGAATGCGATCCTCGCAGTATTTATGTCATCTCGTTATTTTCCTAAATTGTTTCCTTAACACAGATTATTCAATCATTCTCTATTTTCATCAATTTTTTTTATCACAAGTCAGGTCCGCACACATCTGTTTTCTGTGGTAGAAAAATATTGATCAGAGCAAAGGAAAAATAAGAACACACAACTGAATTACATACTTTTGAATAAATTACAGTCTTGAGTTATTGCAATGAGATTGATGTTGAAAGGAAATAAACTTTCAAAAAATTTCACGAGACTTCTGCGCAAATGTTTTGACTAAAATCTTCGTGTTAAAGCTATTTGTTGTTTGGCAAGCCTGTACTTTAAAACTAATCCTTAAAAGGTTTCGGGTAAGATTTTTTTTTCTGTTTTCAATCGCACTGAAAGGGCCAAAAAAATATTGTAAGAAACAGGGTACCCTGTTTTTCCGCAGAATTGTTAAACCCAGAAAACACAATTTATTTCATGCACTGGCATTGCTTCTCTATTTCAAGATCTAATTTGACTAAGAGCGGCTTCACGATACAAAGTATCCAACTCCCGTGTTTCAAAATAAAGGGAAAATTTCTTAAGGGTAGTTTTATCGGTTCATACAATTGTGAGTTAAGCATTAGGAGTGTTCTTGTTTTGAATGAAGCACTTTTCACCGTGGTCGTTCCTTGTTTTCATGTAGTTTATTCTGTAACTGAATCTCATTTTTCGCTCTTTTCTTGGCTCTTTGCCTTTTTTTTTTATATTTTTGGTAGATTTTGTCGAATGAAAAACATCCCCCGGCGAATTTCACTCAAACATTACTTGTAATAACACATACTGATCATACGTGTACACTTCCAAACCTCCCAAATGGTTCATGATAGTAACACCCCTTTCTTAAATTCCGCTTGTTATAATCACATTTGTTGAGTTCGGATTCTTAGTTTTGTTGTAATTACAGGTCGTGCATATAGAACTTTCAAAACTCAGCGCATGAACTGTTAAAAATCAGCCAAATTGAGGGAAAGAGTGATGCGAAATTAGATTGTACGAATGAAATATGAATCTAGGGATAGAAAATGATCCGTTCGCAGTTTGCAACTCACCTTTACCAAACGTCCAACAAGTCATCAAAGCATTTAGGACTACGACGATGAAAAGTGTAGAAAAGTCCATGCTTCCTGAAGACGGCAGACCTCAATATTGATGCAACAAATTTCGAGTTGACCACCTGCATTCAATAATGCATTAATCGACACAGACCGACCTGTTTGTATTGAAAATGGGATGTAACAAAGTTAACAGCTGTCAGTCCTGACCCAATGAAATTATCGATGCAAATAACATTCACGATAACGTGTGGTCAGTTTCTGCGAATAAATACGTTTTCGATATCTTTTGTTTTGCTTCATAGAAAGAGTTTGAATTTGGGGGACTACGATTTGATCAGCGTTAACCAACAGAATAGACGCAGGACTTTGTCATACTATTGCAATAAAATTAAAATAAATAGCTTCATAATAACAATCAACTGATTACGTCTTAGGCAGTAACATTATGAGCATATTTATAGAACAGTAGGAAAATATACCAGTCGCTCTCACGGCCAAATTCTCCTGAATTTCTGAGATAGTGTAGCCTCAATTTTACAAGATTAATCAGTAGATTCAGTGTATTTTTCTCTCATTTTTAGGGTAAAACACCTTCTATCAATCGAAGCATTAATAACTGACGTACTGCAATCAAAACAAACATAATAAATATAAAATAACACATGGGCGCCCGTAGATACAGAATTTCTCCACAAGTTTAGGCCTCTCCGATTGTGCTCGTAAAATGCCGGATAGTCGCTGAATGAAAAGCTGAAAAGTTGCTAAAAAAATTGCCAAAAAGCTGTTTCCTGAATGTTATGATATTTTTACATAAACGTTGATTAAAAGCTCTATTTTTCGGTCTTCACAGATATTTCTAATAACATTGAGACTACACTTCGATCACACCTAGTATACGCCCGAAGCATGCCGCCGACCCAGCTAAACAGGAAGGCGTAGTCTACAGGATTCCCTGTGAGTGCGGGAAGGTTTACATCGATGAAACTAGCAGACCTATGCAGGAGAGAATCAAGGAACATGACAGGGATATCCGACTCGCCAAAACGCAGACCTCCGCCTTGTCAGAGCACGCCTACAACAACGGACACCGCAGACAGACGAACAGCCACCGATAGAAACAAAGACACAGACAGAGTAAGAAACCGACAGAAGTTCTTTGTAAAAAAATGAATTGTTGTTGTTTTGGAATTATCTTTTCACATGTGCACGAACAATGTCTTAACTTTCCATATCATGCCTACAGTTTTTTTGTTGTGTATGACAGCAGTTATTTATCCAGTAGCTACTTACCTTAAGTGATGCGTTCTTTATTAATTGCATCATGTAGCCACACCCAGCATAACCTGAGTACCCAATGGACAGATTATAATTTTGAACAGACCCTGTTCAACAAACAACTCTCTACTTTGTAAGGGGAAAAGGCAGGGCTCTTGTTCAAACTAGTGACCAGTGTAAGATGTCAGCTTCTTGTAACCACAGAAAAAAATATGTGAATTACTACTGTGAGGTACGAAGAAATGCAAATATAGGAGGAGAGAAATCAGCCTCAGCATTGAAAGTGAGCTTTTTTTGCACTATTTTAATAGAAACATATCATTTTTGCTTAATTTTGTTTGTGTGTTAATTTGTTGTTGTTGTTGTTTTGTTAATGAAATGCCCAGACCTTTCGTAAACTATCATCCTAAAGCTGCTTTCTTCTCATAGCAAGTTTTTCTCGACGCTATAAATTAAGTTGGTTTTCCTTTTGCAATGCAAACCCTGTGATAACATTTTACACTTTCTTTAGTGATTAAATTGTTTAATCGATTCTTTATTTCTAATACTCAAAGTGCCCATGCCATGGTTAATGTAAAGTTTTGAAATAATAACCTGCTGCATGTAAACTTTAGAGGAAAGAGTTGATGTCATTTCCATGGAAAATTCCTCTCGCCACAGCAACTTTGTGAGTGTAAGTGCGAGATCAAATTTCGAGGTATCGTGTTAGTTGCAAAGATATATCTCACGGAGCAAGTGAATGTCATTCTTCATGAGTGGTAGCGACTTGTAAATCAGTTTAAAAGATCTATTTCACTTGATGACAACGATATCGTAGTAAGGACTGATAATGATATGTTGAATAATAAGTAGAGAATAATGCATGGGCGCACGTAGAGATGGAATTTCTCTTGGAGTGTTTAACTCGATATCACTCAAGTGAGCAAATGCGCAGTGAATGAGTGATATGTCGAATTGAACACGAGAAGAGAAATTCTAAGCAACCATGTATCATTTTATTTATCAATTACGACTTACTAAACCCTTTGGTTGATTGGTGTTGTTATTTATAGCACACTCTGATTATTGACTTAATTTATTTCTTCCCAGACTGACGTTTAAGGAGACTAACTAGAGGGCTAACTTCGAGAAGGTATCAAAAGAGTTGCGGTTGTCTATATGGAGAAAAGTTAGTCAAATGGCGATACTTGTTGTTCTTATTTTATAAGTAGCAGTGCTTGCTCAAAAGCTTTTTTTTCTTGTAACATTCCAAAATCCAACAATTTTATATGAGTCTTATGCTAAGACCAGCTAACAACGTTACCGAGAGGTATTTTCAATAACAAAACCAAGCTGGAGAGGCTGTAAATTATTAGCACTGCCCTTTGTTAATCTTCATTTTATTAGACGAGTGTAGTTGTAAATTGTATTTTGCAACACAGCTGTATCGATTGCTTATTAAGTAATAACGTCGAAAGCTTAAAAATAAGATATATTAAAGTGCACATGGCAACCAAGTGAACAATCAGACATGGTTTGATGCTACTCAGGTTTAAAGATTCAATAAATGTAACCGAGTTACAATTCATAAACCCGATGTTTCGACACTCCTGACTAGTGCCTTTATCCGGGGGTGATCTAATCGCTTCAACAAGAGGTCCTTTTATATGCTTACTAATTAGCGGCTTTTTTGTCTGACGGGGTGTAAATAGGCGTCAGGTAGTAAACCGCCATCATCATGATTTAAAGAAGCGTGGGTGGAATTGATATGCCAGGCTTTCAAACGAAGGCGCTGGTGGTAACGTCGATTAGTGGTAATAATTTTAGACTTATCCCACCCAATTGCAAGGTGCTCCGACAAAGCTGAATTTTCTTCAGAGCAGCGATGTGTTATCTCCAAATGATCGTAATGTTCTCTTTTCTTAACCATAGATGTTTTTTCTAATACTGATGCGGAGTACCATTGGATCCCTCTTTCCCCTCGTCTCGGTGTCTGTTGAAAAAAATATACCAATCCGCATGTTTGCATCTACATGTTCTTACATGTCAAATCTCTTCGTTAATTGACCAGCATCAGACATTTGCTCTGCGGAAAACAAACATCTGAATGCATGTGTTATACATCCCAAAAATGATGCATCAACTTTTAGACAAGCACACATTCTTTGACAAATGCATTTGAGATGAAAAATCTTCCTGCTATATTTATAAGTAGAGAATCTTCTGGGAGGCATTCGAGAAGCCAACGACACCAACAGATTTTCAATGATAACTTTCCTTGTTCAAAATTTGGCATCTTGGCCTCTTTTTTTAAGAAAAAAAAAGGAAATCAACTCAAAACCTTTAATAAACAGTAGAAATGGGTACGATGTTTTATTAACAGGTTAGACACTTGAGGCGACACTATTTGTAGTTTACATCGTTCAGTACAATGATGGTGCACACATATGTAGTAAAATACCATCAAAAGTTGGTAGGTATACCACTGGTTCTTGTTTAAATATGTCCTCTCTGGTAATTCTTGAGAGTAGTGAATTAAATACTACAACAGTTGGCCCAATGCAAAGAGGATGACTCGAAATATGAGCTGATAACCAGATTTGAGTGAACTAATTAAAACGCTAAAAATGGAAAATTAGGACTTAAAAATTTAATAACAAAGCGTATTTGTGGTTTGAGTGGTCAATTAGAGTGCGATTTCAACGCTTTCCACCGTTGTAGAATAGACATAAAATTATCCGAAACATTTTTTGGGTAGGTACGGCTCCTATTGGAAGCACTCGCAGTCTTTTTTAACTTTTCCTTAACGAGTATTTGTCACTCACTGAATAACATCTCCCTTCGCTTAAATCATCAGGCTAGAAATTTACAATCACCATTTACGTCTCATTTCGCTTAATTATCACATTTCGACATTACCATCCTCGCATTGTGCAGGATGTCTGTTACCATGGACTTATTTAACTGGTCTAGATAGCTACGAGTGGTCCCAAGGACTGACGAGAAGGGTAAATTGGTTGAGTCCCATTGGGAACGGTCAGATTTTTCTTTCCTCTTTGCCTGTGTCATTCATCAAATAACACCTTTTTTCAATGAAATTACAAGGCTAGGTGCAACTCCAATCGGGAGTACTCAGAGTTTTTTTTTTTCTCCGAACAGACATGTGTCATTCACTTAATTATATCTATGTATGTATGTATAGTGGGACTATCACTAAAGCAGATTTTCCTGTAAACTTCACCATCCTCCATTGTGGGATGAGTACCATCCAACCAGCCTGACCAGATTGTACTACAGTGGTATGCATCCACACGCTTTGTTGGCATTTTTGTTCCAGCATCTCCCATTAAACGATACCATTCCGCAGGGTCACTCTCTGTAGGGAGTTGGTCGTCACAAGACTCTGGACCGTTAGTTGGTGTTGAGTAACTGTTCTTCCTATCGTTTTCATTTAGAATTTTGTAATTTTTCAAGGATTTCCTACGAAATTAAATGATAATTGTAACAGGATTAAAGTCGTTAGAGTCAATGGTAAAAGATTTTGTCTAACGAGCATTAATTACTGCTCATTAAACAAGAAGTCAATCAGTACTAATAGGAGGAGCTCGTCATATTTCCCTGGCAGTTACTTCAATTTCCATCATCGAGTGGTCACGTGTTGTTTAGAAACATACATATCTTACACTTTTCTTCTTCTTTTTCTTGTCACATTTAACGAAGTTATTAAGCTATGAAATAGCTCTGAGCTTTCAAGGCTAAACTTTGTTTTAATGCTGTTGTCAAGCGTGAAGACCATGCGAAGGCAGAAACAAACAAAAGTCTCAAATTTATCCATTTATAATTGAGGAAAATGACTTTGGAGATCCATCTTTAAGGAAAAAAAATACTTCCCGTCTTTTGTAACGATGACAATACACTCATTTTGCATTAGATTTTTAAAGAAGACCTATCTTAATAAACGTAATGTGTAAAAATTGGGGACTATTACTTGGGGGTATATCACCAGATATTCCCTGGTATTCGGTCACGCAATGCGTTTAGCGCAATCACACGCGCGATAAATCATTTGATGTATATATCTTAAGGGTGGTTGTGGTCTTCTCACGAACGACTGATGGAAACTTCATGGAGAAATAGCGTCACACCATCGTGGTTTTGTTAACATTTAACGACAATTCAGCAAAATAAATACCAAAAGTGTTTCTTAGGAAATGATCGACGTTAACACAGTTTAGAGCACCACCATTCGTAGATAAATAAAAATGAGGTGCGATTAAAAATAAAACATAAAAGAAAATGATTTAAAAAAATTAGAGTGAACTAATGGCCTACACATCTGTCCTGTATAATTAGAACTCAGCAACATATCGTCGGAAGTTGAGCCACAAGTGTCAAGTTTGCAAAAAAGAGAAAAAACCGTTCCTGATAGTAGATAATTTATGGTGAACAATGATATTTAGGGTAATTCTTGCATTTTTCTTCTAAGGAATTCGTCATCGTTTCTTCGAGCTGTTACATTTCCTCTCTAAAGTGTACAGCCTTTTAAGTCAATAATTGATGTTGTTGAATAACAAATTTATGAAATTACTGTCTTTCAATGAAACGTCAAATCTAAGGTTCAGAGACAATTTATGATATCATTCCTAACTTTTTGTACGTTATCGCCAGTCCATCAAAGGACAGCCGGAAACAAAATAATAAGAAAATCGTTCAACTAAGGATTATGGACTGAGAGATCCATAACGTGATTGAAGGCATCCTAAAAGAAATCATCCATGATCTCGTTTTCTTTCTTGCCGTTGTCATCTTTGGCATTCATAGCACTCTCTCTCCCATTCTAATCTCTTCTCGACCGGCTTTTATTCAGAATCGAGTCGATTAAGAATCTTATTCGTAAACAAAAATAAAACACGATTAAAAAGAAAAAGCAAAGCAAAGGAATCCTTCCTACATAGGCACCTGACTCAGCGACATGTTTTCAAAAAGTTATGTTGAGCGTTAAAAGCTATGTTTTTGGTTTTCATAGCCATTAGCTTTTGAGAACTCAAATTAAAAACAGGCAAACTGTGTGAAATGAGAGAAAACGCGAGTAACCAAGCCATAAATTGGTTTTAGTCTTGAATTTGATTGGTAGAGAAAGCGGCGGTTCTAGTCGAGCAATACCGGTGCAGTCCCGAATTTTCTACGACAGTCCCTTGAAATAGCTGTGTACAATATAAATGATAATGAGATTACTTCAAAGGACACCCTATAGTACCTTTACATCCATAAAGCTCCATTCTCATCGAAATGTGATTGTGCCATTTGGTGGGTAGAAGTCTTATGTAACGCGCCTTCATGGATGGATGGATCTGCTGGAGTACAACAGTGTTGCTGTCTTGGTTTGCGATGAATTCCTGCAAACAGAAGCAGAACGCAATTTTGATGTTAAACCATCATTTTACCACAAAAGTCAGAAGTGATACTTTTATTCAATGGAGATTTACTAAGGTCCAACCTCAAATAAGCAGTTGCTTGGAGCTGAAATACCAAGCAGCTCTCGCAACGAGGAAAAAGATGCCTTAATATTTCAAGGCATTTCTGGCAGATACCAAGTAACCTTTCCCACTCTTTAACTTTACAAGTCCAGACCTAACCCAAAGGGGAAAGCACAGGACATAAAAGAAAACAAATATGTTCCTATAATTCATTAAGAGTACCTTTGGAAAGTTTTGACCTGGTGTTTGATAAAAGCTAAAATTCACTCCATCATCACTGTACTGTATTCTGTATTTTTTCACCCATTGGTTGTCTGCATTCCTTCCTTGAGTGGCCATATGTGTTACTGTCGTCTTAGTAAGAAGATCAACCTGGATCCACTGATTCAAATTATTGTTTTTAGCTGACCAGCCTCCTTTTTTTCTTTGATGCGCCAAAAAATTCAACCTTCCCTGGATTGCAGCATGGTTTCCATCCCACTCTGAAGAGGCTGAGATCTGAGCATCCTTTATGACTTTCGATTTGTTATCCATACCCAGGGGTGCTAGGCATGCTGTAAGGGTTGGAATAAGTGAATTAATCCCAACATAGCGCATGCATAACTCTAGGAATAATTCGATTATGTTGGCGTGACTTTTTGAAGTAAATTTTATTCGATGACTTTGTTACCATGAGCCACTTAGAGCACAGTATAGTATCTGAAGTACTACTCGCAAAAAGGTAAAAGGTTTGAAATTTTGTTCGAGCGCACATAATTTTCTCTCTTTAAGTATTCCTCTGTAAGGGACTAAGATATTCGTCGTTTTAACATGCTTAGATGCACATGAGAAGAAAAATTCTGTCGAAAAGCAAAGGAAATTACCGCAATGGCGAAAGACGTCGACTTCATCTTGGTTGAACTGTTCCGTGGTGGCATGGAACCGATGGAAACTGTGTTTTTCGCCTTGCGTTCGCATTTGTATTTGCGTTACCCCGACGTTTGGGAAGCGTATGCAAACGCATATAAAGCTCAAGAAAATTAAAATTATAACATAGCGCACGTGCTTGCCTTATGTAAGCCGCTATGAACAAATCTTTATTTACACACACCCGTGCGTAAATAAGATGACGTGAACATTTTTTGTTCATTCTTGCTCTGTTATAAAAGAATTTGCTCATGCTTTTAGCTGTGCGTATATCGAGTTATGGATGCACTTGGGAAGTTTGGAGAGCACTCAAAAAGCTAGAGTTGCTCTCGGCTACGCCTCGAGCTACTCTTACGCATTTTTCGTGCTCTCCAAGCTTCCCGCGTGCATCCATAACTCGAAATACGCACGCTAAGCATGAATAAATTCTTAAATTTTTCATTCCTTGCGTTAACGTTTGCATCTGCATTTGTGTAGGGATAGTTCAAACGTTTAAATCATTGCATTAGTATTTGCGTCTACTCTTGCATTTGCGTCACGAGACTGTTGACAGTATCTGTACAATTGCGTCCATCTCCAGTATATCTAGGTTTGCAAGTGCACACGTACGATCCGCGTGTGTTAACACAAGTGGCGTTTACGTGACATAAGCCTGGGTATGTTTCACATTCGTCAAAATGTGTATGAACGAAACAAAATACTGCTTTGCACGTTTCTGGTTTGATGCGATTTTTAGGTCGGACTTGTAAGCAAAGAATCAAAATATTCTTGAGTTTTGCTCACGTTGATGCAGTCTACTTTACAAACTGCGCCTCGATTACCAACCGAGCACAAAACGTGATATAAATTCCACAAACAACCAGGCAAACAAATAAAATGATAATCACATTTAAGTATACTGTGAATTAGGACAAATTCAACACAAGTTTATCCAACGAGAAAAATGGGAATCGACGCCATTGAATCAAGAGAGAAATTCATGCTATTTTGAGCATAATGTAGATTACCATTTTCGCAGTGTTCTCCATCGAATCCAGGAGGGCATAAGCATCGATATCCTTTGATGGTGAAACCAGACAGACAAGTTGCGTTATTTTGGCACAGTGAAAACCTATCACAAGAGTTCTGAAGGAACGAGACAAAAATCAACGGACTGAATGAACAAATCGTTAAAGAAAAATGAAAACGTAAAAATGTTCGCAAAACGTCAGTTTTTGTTAATATGTTATCCTAAAGTGACAAATTCGTAAATTCTTCTGGTAACTCACCTTCGAGCCACGATAGTAAAAAAACGCGTCATTTGTCAAGTCGCTGTCATGTTTCAGATGTGTGGCGTTATTTAGCTCACAGATGTGACCTGAGTTGTCATTCTTTGGATTCATATCAAACTCATGGGGTACAAATAGTCTTAACATGAATGTAGTGACCACGCCCACTCCAACACCCCACTCAAATCGAGTGTAATTTTCGAATGTTTTACCATCGTGCGGATTCTCTACGGAAAAAGCACTACATGTACCTCTGAAATATTAAACTATAATATTGTGGCTTTCTCTTTCGCTAATTTTCTAACTTGAAGGTAAAGTTTTTCCCTCGTCATTTTTACCTTTTCTCCGAGCGGTTGCGTGAAATTAACAAGGCGTTTTTGATCAAAACACGACCGAGCGAAGGGTCTCAGGCGATATCTCTTTTACGCAGGCGCAAATTAAAAATGTACGACCAGAATCAAAAAGAGGAACAAATTTCCTTTGTTTTGATATGTAAAGTGTCGAACAAAAAGCAGATTTACCTTCGTCAAATGGCGTTTCAAAACGGCTGTATCTTCCTCCTTTTGATTTTTCCTGTTTTGTAAGCGTGAAAGCAGTAGGAGAGGGATCGGGAAACTCAGAAAGCGCTTCGGGAATTAATCTGCCATCGTTTACTTACAAGATAAACAAGTAAGATTTGTGAAGTTCGTTGAAGTATGAAGTCTAAATAAATGCCTTTTTAAAGCTTGTTTGCTGGATTTTTCGTAAACTTCCCTGATTAATTTTTCGTTTCAGCTTACTAGTCTATACTATTTCAAAGCAATGCCAAGACGAAGACGGAGAACCATGAGTCGGTCCTTTCAACAATCGTAAACAAAGTGTTTGAGCAATCAGGTATACGAGGTGTAATAATCAATAGCCGCATATCAGAAGTCTTCAGAAAGAAAGTATTCTACCTTCAGAAAGCTGTCAAGAAAGCTAATAATCGTGGCGGAAGGCAATTAAACGGGCCCTCGGTATCGATTTAATATCATATCGATCTCAATATCATACAGTTTCGTATCTTTCTTCCGTAGATTCGCCTTTCTAACGAGGGTGTATGTTGAGAATTCATTGCAAAATCGCTTTGTGTTTTTTAATTTTCCTCTTTGACCTGTCCGCCATTTTGAAAATTCGTAACGGAGAGCATGCGCATTACGTGGGGTTAGTGGTTGCGTACACCTGGAACCGAGAAAAACAAATGTTCGTCGCACTGGGGAAAGAGTTTGATATGATTCCTGGATCTTTTTTGAAGTTAAGACTGACACAGTTGTCGTTCAGGTAGCAAAGAAGCTCACAGTCATCCAAGTTCTTGACTTTTCTTGTTTCGATAGTATGGTTTACCAAACGTCTTTCAGCAAAGAAGTAGTAGTCTGGAAACAGCATTGCACGCTCTCGCCCTAAAGTATACAAATTGAAATATAGTTACAAGGCAAACTTTTCCATCGCACAAAAATAAAATCTCAAGGAAGAAGCTCTTAAGACGAATTTCTTGGCAAAAAAGTCTGGGATCTCAGTAAATTGCGCCGGCAAATACATCGAGAACATAATAATACAACCTTGGATGAGTAGAACGATGATTCGTTAAATGCGTTTTCCAACTTTGTAAATCGTCTTTCTTTTTTCTATAAAACTACCTAATTTTCGGAATTTTTCATGTTTCTGAGCTATAGAGCATTGTCGGAAGATTCTTTTGTTTTAATTTGGTAATCAAAGAGGACTCCATGATTTTAGCCTAGATAAAAGTATCGAAAGGGAAGGAACGCATCAAACACTCAGCAAAATTCTTATTACACACTGTGGGTAGTTTTGTGTATTTGGTTTTTTATGTCACTGTCTGGTATCACGTAAGAGATTTATATTTGGAATCGAAAGCTTTCTAAATATACAAATTTAGGGTGAAATTCTTCAATTTGCACTTTTTCAAGCCAAGGCAGGTGGTTGAAGTTGGTTAACTATGGTTTATTTATGAGTATGAAAGCGATCTTCGTGGTATTTATGTCATCTCGTTATTTCAGTAAATTGTTTTCTTAACAGAACTTATTCATTAATTTTTACTTTCATCGATTCTTTTTTTCACAAGTCAAGTTCGCGCACATCTTTTTTCTGTGGTGGAAAATTTTACCGGAGCATCAGAGGTTTCAAAAAGGAAAAATAAGTACACAAAACTGAATGACATACTTTTGAATAAATTACAGTCTTGAGTTGTCGCAATGAGATTGGTTGAGACTTCTGCGCAAATGTTTTGACTAGAATCTGTGTGAATGCTATTTGTTGTTTAGCAAGCCGCTACTTTAAAACTAATCCTTAAAAGGTTTTGTGTCAGAGTTTTTTTTTTCTTTTTTCCACAGCATTCGTCAAAATCTGTCAAAAATAAAAAAAGGAAAGAGCCGAGAAAAGAATGAAAAATAAGATTCAGTTACAAAATAAACTATATAAGAACAAAGAACGACCACAGTGAAGAAGTGCTTCATTCAAAACAAGTACACTCCTAATGCTAAACTCACAATTGTATGAACCGATAAAACTACTTTTAAGAAATTTTCGCTGTATTTTCAAACACGGAAGTTCGATACTTTGCATCGTGAAGCCGCTCTTAAACATACCCTGACCGTGGCGAATTCCATTCAAACGCTACTTGTAATAACACACACTGATCGTACGTGTACACTTTCAAATCTCCCAAAAGGGTCATGATAGTAACACCCCTTTCGTAAATTCCACTTGTTATTTCCTTTAATAATCATATTTGATGAGTTTGGATTCTTAGTTTTGTCGTGATGACAGGTCGTGCTCATAGAAGTTTTAAATCTCAGCGCATGAACTGTTAAAAATCAACGAAATTGAGACAAAGGGTGATGCGAAATTAGATTGCACGAATGAAATATGTATCCAGTGATAGAAAATAATCCATTCGCAGTTTGCAACTCACTATTACCAAACGTCCAACAAGTCATCAATGCATTTAGGACTCCGACGATGAAAAGTGTAGAAAAGTCCATGCTTCCTGAAGACAGCAGACCTCAATATTGATGCTTTTATTGTGCAACAGAATTTCGAGTTGAACACATGCATTCAGCAATGGATTAATTGATACAGACCGACTTGTTTGTATTGAAAATGGGAAGTTAACAAAGTTAACAGCTGTCAGTCCTGACCCAATGAATTTATTGATGCAAATAACATTCGCGATAACGTGTGGTCAGCCTCTGCGAATGAACGCGTTTTCGATATCTTTTGTTTTGCTACATGGAAAGGATTTGAATTTATGGGACTACAATTTGATTGGCGTTAACCAACAGAATAGAGGCAGAACTTTTCAAACTATTACAATGAGGTTAAAATCAATAACTTCATAATTCAGCTAATTGAGTGCGTCTAAGGCAATAACATTATGAGCATATTTTTAAGAACAAGCAAGCAAATACACCAGTCATTCAAACGGCCAAATTCTCCCGAGTTTCTGATATAGAGCAGCCTCAAATTTACAGGATTAATCCGTAGATTCAGCGTATTTTCTCATTTTCTCCGTAAAAAACACCTTGTAAAATTAATCAAAGCATTAATAACTGACGTACTGCAATCATAACAAACATAGCAAACAGAAAATAATACATGGGCGCGCATAGATGTAGAATTTCTCCTCAATTTCAGGCCTCTCCCGATTGTGCTGG